CCTTCACCTCTGTAGTCTGTAGTGCCTGTTTTAAACTGTAATACGTACCTTGTTTTCATCATTTACGTATTAATATATGTTTTCTAAAAAACTATTAAAACACAGTTCTCTTCAAGTTCAATAACAAACTGACACAACATACGGTGTAAAAGCCAATAAATTAAGGCGCTATTTGAAAAGATGATAAAATTAATTGTGATGAGATTGAAAATACTAATAAAATTTATTGTAATTGTGATTGAAAATAATTTAATAAAAAATTTATATTGATTTGATTTCACTACAACTGATATTTAAATTTAACTGAAAGTATATTTAATCGCAACTCACTGAGGTGGAATCCAAACGTAGAGTAAATAGCAACCCAATAACCCTTAAAAAAACCACCACAATGGAAGGATACTGCATGGGTTAAAAGCCAATTCAAAATCCATTCTCTATCCCCAGTTTTGGAGAAATATTCCAACCAAAACTTTCCACAAGGGCAACATAGTTTTTCTTTTTTGCTTCTTTTTGGAAGCATCATTGGGTCCTGATTTGCTAGATCTCATATCTATTATTGTCATGATATTAGTCTGGGGAGCTTCTACTGCCGGTTGAATCAATTAAGCATTATTCTTATTCACAGTTGACGTTATTTTGTTCAATTTTTTTTTTTTACAAAGGCAACGACGACTACGTCTTTAATTTGTGGAAATTGAGATTGGTTGAAAAAAATAATTTTGAGTAATTACATGTATCTGATAATGTATCAAATATAAATTCATAAGAGATTAAGTTATAATTAAAATTAAAACAATTTATGAAAATAAATAATATGTAAAAGTGATTAAGAAAAAAATTATTTATACAAAAAGTTTCCTGTTATTGCTTTACTTTATGAATAACAAAAATCGTCATAATTATATTTGACTTAGAATACGTATCTTATAATTTGTTGAAATTTATTGGATTTTCAAGATACATGATTTAGTGATATAATAATTCCTGATCAATCTTATTTTTGTGTTTTTTTTATAGTGTCAATTAGAGACTCATGTATATTTAATTCATGTTCTGTGACTTTTGATTCAATTAAAAAAATCATTGAATATACAATTGAATTGTGCTGAGTTGCATGAAAGGTCCGTGCACTTGTGCATTTGTTTTTATTTTCAAAAACAAAATTTGAATCTCCTTTTCCTCAAATTAAAAAAAAAAAAGAAATTAGTTTAGTCATCGGATTTTTAAAATTTATTGTCATATTTATATTGATTATGCATTGTCATTACTACAAATCATTTTATTCATAACAACGTAGAAATTAGAACGCTAAATTACTTGAGCTATGATACTACAAGAATTGAAGTAGGGTAACATAATTATTTCTTGCTATATTCTATCCAATATTATTTGCCCCAAGAAAATATTGTTATTTTTTTTCTTATGAAATTTAAAATTTTTTATTCACCCATTCACATTAACATTCACAGTAAATGCGAGTAGAAAGTTTTTTTTAAAAATATTCATGAATTTTTTTTTTCAAAAATAAAGGCTATGAAACTTCCAAAAAAAAAAACCACAATCATACTTCTGCTATAAGTCAAACATGGAATTGCCAATAATGAGTTCAATGTTCGGAAATTATCTGCTCTCGTATTTATCGTAACCTCAGTCGCCGTCAGAACATATTATCTGAGCGTGCAAAACACATTCCAATATTCTTTAAACACATATTTTTACGCATAATAAAATTAAATTTAAAATTTCGTGTATTTATATGTATAAAATATAAAAATTTATATATTCTTATTTTATTTTATATAAAAATTATATATTATAATTTATATTAACATAAAAAATATAAAATATATTTTTTAAATTTTATTAAATTTAAATATAATTATTATTAAATTTTATATTTATATTATATTCGTATTATATAATTATATCATGTGTGATAAAGTATCAAGTCAAACAAAACTTGCACAAAGCGTGGTCTTTACGTTACTTACAATTACGTGAAATTGAACCCAAAGTTCTAAAAAAGTGCGCAGTTATATTTTCAAAGAACAAAAGGAAAGTAGAAAGAATCATTAGCAAATCAATAAAATAGGGTATCTGAAAAAAATCTTTGATTTCAAGTCCAAAAAGCCGAAACAGAATTTTGGAAGAGAAAATCAGACAACGAGGTTCAGCCAAAGGCTTAATACCTGCAGGAGACAAGGTCACCTTCTGTCATCAGGTATCTGAAGGTGGGATCAGGGTGTTTGGTTCTATATTTTTCCCATGTTCATGCGACAGTATTGACATTGAGAGAGCAACCAAACTTGGAAGAATATGAAGCTTGGAAATTAAATTTATTTTGACAAAAAATAATTAAAAATGACTTTAATTATTACAAACTTTTTGTTTCACATTACTAATGATTTTGTGGGAAAGACTTAACAGTGACAAAAGGATGAAATTCGGTAAACCTTACATCAAACAAATCAATGGTAAAAAAAAGAATAGGGTAATTTAGGAAGGACCCAACCAAATGTCAAGTATGTTTCACTGGGGCAAGCTACTTAGTGCTTTGGTTTCCAATATAGCCTGAAACGACATGAAAATGACCTGTCCTTGGAAGAATTTAGAAAGAGATTAAAAGGTGGTCAATTCACATTTGCTTTTTGTAGATATTTTTAAAGGGTGCAAGAGCAATTTTTTTTTTCTTTTATAAAAACTGGATTGAGAAAGAGATTGTAGATATTTGAATCCAAAATTTATTAAACATTAATTTTATAGATGATTATATAAATCAATTTAATTAAAATTTTAATTCAAATAGCAAATTTTATAATTACTTTTATCAGTATATATATATATATATATATATATATATATATCTAAGAAGAAACTTTACATTCAGCTTAATGGAGTTAAAGTTTCTTTTTGAATGATTAGATACATACTGCTATTTGTTTTTATTTTCATCAAAACTTCATACCAACTCGGCAGCCTTTGGCTTTGGCTTCATTCGCTTTTCTTTCGAATACAAGAAGATTCCAGTAAGAGCCACTGCAGTGCCTGCAGTCCAAACCAGTCACAGTTAAATTTTAATAGAATGCAAGTGCTATTTTTTTTTCAATTTGATTAGTGCATGTAAAAGCTGATGGTCAAGGAAGAATTGTCAATTGCCATGTTTTAACAATTGGTTGATGAACAATTTTACCAAGGGTGAAACAGGCGTTTGAAAAGAAGATAACGGAAGAGACGATGACCACAACTCTCTTGACACAATTTCCTACAGAGTGTGTAACTGGGGATACCGTCTGCAGTATCATGTAAGAGACCTGCAAAACAGAAAACATGGCAATTCAACTTCGATTATACGACTAGAAATTAGGCATTCCCTACTGCTATAGTTACTATGGTACTGAGGAACTGCATAATTTTAGGATAAAGAAGCAAATTACAATAGATATAAACAGGCTCACCTGCTGATAACTGTGGAAACAGAATCCTGCCAGAAGATATCTCATGCATAGTTCCCTAATATTCAAACCTTGGTTTGAATTAATTCAAGAGAAAAAAAAAAAAAAAAAACAGCTTCATGTTTATGCATAGCAGGCTCTAATTGTTGCTTTAAGACAACATCAGTGGTGACTCAATGACATTTAAAATTAAGAGCGTAATTGTCATACTTCTGTCATAAAACAGTGGTGACTCAATGACATTTAAAATGTAAAACCATTGTAAATTTATGCTTGAATTGTATGTTTTTTTTTACCTCTTTTCTAACCATGAACTTTTTACTGCACACATTACGCGATTGGTTAGTCACATTGGAAGCCATTGCGCTACAGAAACCAATCCCGTTTCAGAACAACAAGACTTGGTCAAGTTTAAGAAACGAGTTTAACTGAACAAGGACCATGTTTCTATGAAGGGATAGTTTATCAGACTTTTAAATGAGTTGATCATACAATGTTTCTTAGCAATTAAAAAATGCCACAGTAAATGAGGCTAATTCCACTCCACCTACAACTGGTATGAGGGAGGACACTATCCAGCCACTGTGAAAACGAAATAATTGTGAAAAACTGAGTCAAAGAACTTAAACAAAACATAAAACAAAAATTCTTAAATTTTACATGATTTATAAATTTGTGTCTATAACTTTGCACATTTATAATTACATGCGTGACAACGTATTATCATGTCAATGAATATTAGGTTGGACCAAAATTTTATTAATTAAATCTTATTATCAAAATAAATTATAAAATTTAAAAGTTAATAAAAAATATTTATTAGTTTTGCTTTTAAAATGATATTAATGTCCACATATGTATTTTTAAGACCCTATAAGTAAATAAATAAATATATATTTATAGACATCTATTCTCCTTTTTGGTTTTTTATTTTTTTTTTGGTTTTAGCATATGATTGTTGAACTCTAAACCTCTTTTCCTTAAGAAAAGGAACATGGTGGATCACAAATGAAATTCCCATGCTTTAAAATAATGCATGTAATACATGCAAAATTTTTTGTTTAACAAGGTTTGGGTATTTTCGAGTTTCGTCTAAATTTAATATCTTTTTTTTAGCGATTTTTATTACATTGTTCCTGTATCAGCATGATGCATATTACTTTTTTTTCTCATTGAAGTCTATCCTGAACAAGTTATGCCTCATTTTTTTATATACAGACACAATAGAAATGTAAACAACTACGACGAGAATAAGGGAGCTGACACAACCAATATTCGGGGCTCGCAACTCGGAGCTTTAGGATGATGAAATCTCAGTATCCGAAGAAAGCATTAGATGTAGAAACGAAGCAATTAGGCGCGAAGCAGATAAAACTTGGGAGGCCTGCTCTCTTCTAAACTTGAAGTTTGACTCAGACAAAGCTGAAGTAGTAAAGCGCCTACAGCAATTAGAGTCTCCAATCATTGAAAGGGACGAGGGAGGCCTGCGCTCGGATTAAGCTTTCGAGACCAGCTTTCGGGGTATGGGTGTTCTCTTTTCTCTCAATGATTAAAGTTATCTCTTGGAATGTTAGGGGCTTAGGAAGTAGAACAAAGAAAAAGGCTTTGAAGAAATTAATTTCCAAACAGATCCTGTCAATGATATTTCTGCAAGAAACAAAAAACAGCCCACCCGATTCCAGGTTTTTGAAATATCTATGGAGCAGAGATGCTTTTAAAGGAGAATGGGTAGGTTCAAATGGTAGATCTGGAGGTTTGATTTCCCTGTGGTCAGAACAATTCTTCACCCTCGAAAGCTCCTTCATCAACCACAGATTCACACTCCTCCAAGATACTATCAATGCTTTAAATATCCCCTGTATCTTTGTCAACATTTATGCTCATAATGATCCAGCTGAGAGGAACAACTTATGGAATGAATTGATTGATGTTAAAAACTTGCTTAACCCTTCTAATTTGTGGTGTATTGGAGGTAACTTCAGCATTATCAAATGCCTTGAGGAAAATAGGGGTATCTCATACGACCTTGCTTCTATGTCTTCCTTTGTCAACTTCATCAACTCTATGGACCTTGTTGATCTCCAATTAAATGACGGCCTGTTCAGTTGGTCTGACAACAAAGAAATCCCAACTATGTGCAGACTAGATCCCTTTTTGCTCAGTAGTGATCTCCTCACCAAATTCCCCACACTCCATCAAAACGTGCTTCCCAAATCTCTGTCTGACCACAACCCAATCTGCTTATCGGTTGAGGACAAGAACTGGGGCCTTAAGCCGTTTAGGCTTTTCTCACATTGGATGGGCGATGCTCAGTTTCTTGAAATGTTCAATAATTCTTGGCAAGCAACCACAGACTCTTCCAAGGCTCCCGGAATTTTCAACCGCTTAAAAGCCCTCAAATTTATTGTTAAAAATTGGCAGCAGGATTATGCCAATAAAGACGCCCAAAGAATTAGTTAAGTGGAGGTAGATATAGATGAGTTGGGGAAAAAGGATGAAGCATGTAGACTATCCTATAAACAGCGTTCCACACTGGCCAACCTGAGGAATGAATTGTGGAGCCTCTATAAAAAGGAGGAGCGCTCGTGGTTCCAAAAATCTAGTTCACAATGGATCAAATTTGGTGATCGTAACACCAAGTACTTCCATCTGATCGCATCCAATAGAAGGCACACCAATAGAATCGACAAGCTCATGATCATTAGGAAGGAAATTTGTTAACCAAAGGATATTCATTCAGTAGTGATCAATTACTTCAGCAAACTGTACAGCTCCAATGATCCTATCAAACTCAAGAGCTTTGATTGTCCTTTTAAGAAAATTAGTGAAGACTAAGGCTCCCTTCTGGAAGCACCATTCTCCGATGATGAAATCTGGGCAGCAGTTCAAGATTGTGATGGCAATAAGGCCCCAGGTCCAGACGGCTTTAACTTGGGACTTCTCCAAGACATTCTGGCCTCTGCTAAAGGGAGAAGTTATGAAGTTTATGAACAACTTTTATTCCTCTGGCAGCTTCAACAAAACTATTAATTCCTCCTTCATCACCTTAGTACCAAAACGCAATGGCCCGCCAACTCTCTCTGACTTTAGACCAATCAGTCTAGTGGGGGGTGTTTACAAAATTCTTGCAAAAGTCCTTGCCAACAGGTTGAAAAAGGTAATGAGTTCCGTGATAGGAGTTAACCAGTTTGCTTTTATTAAGGGCAGACAAATCTTTCAATTGCTCACTAATTGCCAATGAAGTGGTCGACAAATGAGAAAAAACAGAGCCGGTGGCCTCATCTTCCAGGTTGACTTCGAAAAAGCCTTCGACAGTGTAGATTGGAGCTTTCTGGACATAATCATGACTTGTATGGGGTTTAGTTCTAAATGGCGAGGATGGATGTTCAAATGTATATCAACAGCCTCCATGTCGATGTTGTTGCCCATCTCCTTTCCTTTTTAATTAGGCTACTGAATCCTTTAGGAAAGCTACTTCGATGGGTCTCTTTCAAGGTGTTGATTTTGGAAGCAACCCCCTAAAGATAACACATCTTCAATTTGCAGACGATACAATTTTGTACTGTAAACCCGACCTAGAATAGCTTCTGAACATCAAAAGAATTCTGAAAGGCTTCCAAATTATATCTGGACTAAAGATTAACTTTTCTAAAAGCTGTTTAATTGGGGTTAATGTTGACAATCATATCTTAATAAGATGGGCCAATACTATCAAATGCAGGGCAGATCAACTCCTCACAACATATTTGGGACGTCCGTTGGGAGCTAGCCCCAACTCTCTTTTAACTTGGCAACCGGTCATTGATAAGGTAAGAAGCAAACTCTCTTCTTGGAAAACTCAGGTTTTTTCTATCGCAGGCAGAGTCAACATAATTAAATCAGTTCTTGCGAGCCTCCCAATTTATTTCATGTCCCTATTTCAAATCCCTATCAGTGTTAGGACAGAAATTGATGAAATCCAAAGAAACGTTCTTTGGTCTGGTGCCCAGGGCGACAACAAAACACATTGGTTAAATTGGGACATAGTTTGCAAAGGGAAAAACTTTCGAAGCCTTGGTATATGTGATCTCAAACTCAAAATAGGGGTCTGCTAAACAAATGGATCTGGCGTTACGCCAATGAACAAGATTGTCTCTGGAGAAGAGTTATCTCTGTGAAAACTGGGTCTGATCCTACAAACCTGCTACCCCCAGCTTCACCAAAGGCTTCACTAGTCTGGTCCCATATTACAAAACTGTTAAACCCCTTGAATCAATTCCATTCAGTGGTTTCTACAAATATTGGGTTCTCGCTTGGCCGAGGTACTAGCATCAAATTCTGGTCAGATGAATGGATTGAAGGCATAACTCTTTCAGCCCACTTCCCTCGAATATATGCCCTTCCTGTCAATAAAAATAGTTATATTGCGGAGTATGGAATCTGGGTTAACAATCATTGGCTGTGGAACATTGGCCTCCGTAGAAGATTATTCGATTGGGAACTATTGCAATAGAACAGCTTCTTCTCACTAATTGTCTGTTACGTACCACATGCTACTAATCCAGACAAAGTCATTTGGAAGGCCTCCACATCTGGAACTTACTCATCGAAAACCTTCTGCAACTATTTCTACAAAAGGACACTCCACTCAAACAACATATGGAAAGCGGTTTAGTCTGGAATTGCTTCCCCCAAGGTTGAAGTTTTTTGTTGGCAGATTGTCATCGGCAAGGTGGCAGTCAAAACTGAGCTTCCAAAGAGAAGCCTTGTAGAATCCAACTCAGCTTTTTGTCCATATTGCAAAACTAAAGCTGAATCTGTTAATCACCTAATGTTTACATGCCAATTCCTGTGGAAAGTTTGGATGGCATATGGTAAAGTATGGGGAGTGTCCTGGACCATCCTAGGAGATGCATCCTCTTTCTTTAATTCTTGGCAAAATCTTCTCCATCCTAAGCAAAACAACAGAATCTGGGGAATGCTTTTCTTTGTGATCCTTTGGTCTATTTAGCTACAACGAAACGAGATCATCTTCCAAAGGCAAAGAACCTGACTTTACACAGCTATTTGATATAATAAAAGTTCGCCTCGCAAATTGGAGCAAAGGAAAATGGCCCTCACTAGTTGCTTCTGTCAATAACTTTCTTTTTAACCCCCAACACATCCGCTTCCCTCCTATTACTTTCAGAGCTAACATTGTAGTCTCTTGGACATGTCCTAATCCTGGCATTTACGAAGATTAATACTGGTGAGTCCGCTTTTGCTAAACCTGGGCCAGCTGCAGTAGGCGGAGTCTTGAGAGACCACCATGGCTCTTTTAAAGGAGTTTTTTCGAAATTCATTGGTATTGAGGACTTCAACTTTGCTGAATTCAAGGCTATCAAAGAAGGTCTTTGTTTTTTCGCTTCTTCAGAATGGGCTAATTCTCACTAGTTAGTTGTGGGGAGTGACTCTTCTAATGTAGTTCTCTGGGCTAGTGGTAGTTCCGGGGTTCCTTGGCCAATGAAGCACATTGCGAAGAACATCGACATGCTTAAAAGTAATCTTAAAGGAGTCTTGTTCAATCACATTCCTCGGGAGGCTAAATCTATTGCTGATGGACTAGCCAAACCAAGGGTCTTTCGATCACAAGACTTGGTAGCTTGGCTGTAATTGTTGCCATTAAAATTTGTCATTTGCTCTGTGGAGTTTCCCTTTTAGTTACTCCTGTTTTGTACTTTCGGTCCCATTATCCAATAAATATATGGCCTTTCAAAAATAAATAAATAAATAAATGTAAACAACCAAAAAAAAAAACCTTATCCCGAATTCAAGAGTTTTTATTCAGTATTGATTCCTGGCACAAAAATATATGACTTGTTTTTGCAAAAGGATTCATGGAGTGAAGAAGAAGATAAGATATTGATTCAAGTACATAAAGAAATAGGAAACAAGTGGGCTGAGATAGACAAGAGACTCCCAGGACGCACTGAGAACACTATAAAGAATCATTGGAATGCAACTAAGCGAAGGCAATGCTCAATGAAAATGGTAAAAACTCCAACCCTAGAGGCTCTCTTTTGCAAAACTACATCAAGTCAGTTAGCTCAACGACCTCAACCCGAATAGAAAAAAAGGTAAAGGGTGTTGAAATTACCAATCCTGAGATGAAAACAAACCCACACCTAGTTCAACTCGAAACCTCGGATTTCAACCCAACATATTGGCAAGTTGTAGTTTGTAATGAACAAGCGGATGATCATCACCAGCCCATGAGTTTCTCTTTCGACGCAAATGTTTTTTCTAATCGTAATCAAAGCTGCACTGCTAGCTTGGGAGTTAATCCCTGTTGTTCTTTTGTTGAAGAGAGCAACGCCATGGATTTTGAGATTCCCCTAGAAATGGATTCCTTGAAAAAGGAACTGGATTTGCCAGAGATGATCTTTCAAGGAAATCTCTAATCATCAGCCGCTGAAAATTGCAAGAACTTTCTAATTATAGTTTGGATCAAAGTATTTTAGCGAGAAAATGACAATAAAGGAAAAGACAAGGTTAAGTCATTTTCTCGTACCATCCATAGGTTTAAGTGCTTTCTTGTTAAAGTCAATTTGTGTGTTTTAAGGTCTGTTGTTTAAATTATAATGTTTCAGACATGCATCATTAATTTTATTGAAAAACTTTCGATTATTTAATTTTTATAAAGTTTGTGTTTTATTAAACCTTCTATTTTTCTCCATTAATTTTAATTGGGTTATCTAAGCTTAGATTTGTACATGAATAGCTTGATCTGACTTAACTCCTAGACAAAATTTTTTAATTCAAATTCAAATTAAAATATTATTTGATCAAACTAAATTAGCCCGAATCTTAAACAAAAAATTTGATATATCAACTAGATCTGGGCCAACCTATGTATATCTATGCCTAAACTTGACTCATGGACAATATAGGTGATATATCAATCTTGGGCTTCTTGCCGATAACTCGTGGTCTAGTTTAGAGAATAGTGACAAGCCATATTGATAATGACTCATGGTCGAGGGTGGGCAATGCTGAAGATTCAAACGGTGGGGTACTTATATCCATCCCAATGTAGGTGATATATCAATCTTGGGCTTATTGCTGATAACTCGTGGTCTAGTTTAGAGAATAGTGATAAGCCATATTGATAATGACTCATGGTCGAGGGTGGGCAATGCTGAAGAGTCAAACAGTGGGGTACTTATAATCGGAGTTGTTACAACAAGGGTGGGGATATGTCAATGAGTCACGCGGTGGGTTATTGCCATATTCCATAATTTGATATATCATTCTTGGGCTTATTGCTTATGATTAATGATCAAGGGTGGGGTACTTAATTATAATTAGAGTTGTCTAGGTATAATTGAGACAGAAATGTATAACTATGAAATACCAAAATGTCAATCACAGACAAAGTGGCGATTCATAAAAAGCAAGATTTCTTTTCCCTTTATGTTAAAAAGTTAGATTCTTGTTTCTTATGCCTTAAAATTTGTTTTAAGTGATGATTAAACAAAATTATAGTAAGGACCAAAATGTAGGTCAAATCTATTGATTTATGATCCACATCAATACTATTTCTAGAAGGATAATTTCTGTTCCGATTGGGTTTGTTAATATATAGTATGAGATTTTAATTAATTTTATACTCTCTATTTTTTGTTTATTTTAATGTATATTTTTTATAATTAAATTTATCTCTTTTTATACTTATTTAAGTGATTTATTTGTAAAATTTTTATCCTCATATGATGTTAATTAAATTTTAATTAAAATCATTAGATTGGTAGATTGATTTTGTCAATTTTATTTGTAATTTTAAAAATTTTTAAAATTAAAATTATTCTTATTACATTTACATGTAATTGATAATTATTTCAATAATTCAAGTAGTACAAAAAATATGAAAAAATTAAACCATTGTGGCACGTGCTCTTAATATAGACTACCTTCTTGTTAAAATTCTCTCATATTTTCCAATTGAAGCTGTAAGTCAGTGTAGATATTTGTTATGTTCACATCTAAGTATTTTAATCATAGTAATTATTCATTGGTGATATAATAGTACTCATCTTTTTCTTTTTTTTTTTTGTAATCCTTATCTCGTTCCTTTTTTTCTATGTTCACATTGTAAAGATCGTAATTAATTTCTCCCTATTTTTTGACATATATATATATATAACAAAAGTTCAACTTTTATCCATTTTTTTCTTCTTGTCCCTTTTATGAAAACCTCTCATTTTCTCCAATAATTTCAAGCTTCTTAATTGTGGGCTCGCTATGACTGAATTAATCACACAAAGATATGGGAAACAGTGAGTTGACTAGCACATTAAAAATAGGAGTGGCGGCTCCAAAACCATGTGCTTGCTATTGCTGCATAGCATGATTAACCGGCTTTTCACCCTTACAGGCAAGTGGACTTCAAAATTATTGCATTAAACGTTTGCAGGACTTTGTTTTGAATAGAGAAAAGAGACAAAAAAAAATGAACAATGGGTGAACTTAGTTATAATGTTTTAACAAAGAGAACGTGTGGATGAGTTAAGTGAGAGGAAGATTCCGCCACAATCAGCTTCTAGAAAAGGGCAGGGGCCTCCAATTTTTCTTCTCTCTAGCCGACCCCACTCTCTGCTATAAATACACCCAAAAATCAAGGGAGAGATTAAGCAAAAAGATACTCCACACTCACACGCAAATAATTCGGATACTACCAACTGATCATGGATTCAAAAGCCATACGAAACCAAGCAAAGAAGAGAAGGGTCTTATTCTCAAAGCGGTTAACTGGCACTGATATCATGAAAAGGTTAGCTATCCCAACCGAGAGTCTTGCATTTCTCCCACGTTTTTGTGGAGGCCATGCCCTGGAATTGCTGGTTCGGGATGAGAATGGGAAGTGCTGGACTTTTGTTTGCTCCATCCGCAAGACTGGAGCTTATCAGAAACCGGTTTTTCAACAGGGTTGGCAAGACTTTGTTGTAGCTAAATGTCTTAACGTTGGTGATAAGGTAACATTTTATGAAGCAGAAGAGGCTGAAGATGGAATCAAGATATTTGGCTCCATTTTACCTCATTCTCGCCATCGTGTCGAGATTGTGAGAAAACGAGTCTCCCCTACGCCTAGAGCTTCTCATCATTTAGGATAAGCTACAATATCATTCAAAGATGGGTAAATTGAGATTAAGATTACTGGCTTATGGCTTTAAAAATGTTTCTACTGTAAAAGTCAGTGCTTACCTGTGGGTTTCCTTCGTGATATTTTCTATTTGTATGGAAATTAGTACTAGCTGGTAGCAATAATATAATATATACTAAATTCATAGTGGCTAGTTATCCCCGTAGACATCTCTTTATTTCCACAAAATATATAATACAATACCCATTTAATCATACAAATAATTGAGAGAATTCAGCATGTCCTGGCCTTTTAATTGATTTAAAAGTTTGAGTAATTGATTGTCAATATTTTAATTATTTTTATTTGAAGAATGGAGACCTCGAATCTTTGAAAAAAAAGGATATGCATCAACCAATTAAACCAAATGTTTTGAAGCATTAGCTTTCATTTTTATTAATTTTTTGCCTACCATCCTATCTAAACATTCGGTATGTATAACCTACTGTATATTTTTCCTCCATCAAATTATGCAATTTTAATGAAAGAAGGGCAACACAAAGACCAAGGCTAATGCTCATTGCAAAGCAAACAGCCTTGTCCTAATTAATTATGAATTAGCTAGGAAGCAGAAGACGCTGCTTATACATTCCAACTCCAAGGATTGCATTCTTAAGTTGTATCGCTCCATTTTGCATTCTTTTAAATTTTATATTTCAAAACTATATACATATATATTATAAGGTTTTTTTTTTTTTTTGCTTTTATATATGTAAAAGTTTGTTCGATTGTGGATCATACAATACTAATTCTTAATAGTATATGATCTTTCATCTCTCAACATTCAATCAACTATAAAAGAAAAAAAGTGAATTTCAAGATTATGGATACAACGTATGTACACTTCAAAATTATTGCGTTAAATGTTAGTTGAATAGAGAAAAAGAGAAAAATAAAATAAAACAAAGTGTGAACGTACTAATTCTTAGTTTATAAAAATGTGTTTTACAAAAACAGTGACAAAAGATTCGGCCACAATCAGCTGGGCCGGGGGCTCCAAATTTTCTTCTCCACCAATCCTCTGTTATAAATACGCACAAAAATCAAGGGAGAGATTAAGCAAAAGGATATTCTAAACTCACACGCAAATAATTCAGCTACTACGCCTAGAGGTGCTCATCATTTAGGATATGCTACAATATCGTTCAACAACGGATTATTTGTGATCAAGATTACTGGTTTATGCTGACATTATCCGCTTTGGTAAATTATTGTTGAAAGCGACTCGTTGATTGTTATTTTTTAGTTGAATAGTATTTGTGAAATTGTGTTGCGTGCATCAGGCCCATTCACCCCATGGCCTCACCGTCAACCTCCGCATACTGCCTCTTTGTCACATGTAAAACGTGCGTACTACCTTGATGTTACGTGTGCAGCTGCCCATTCAAGCCATAGGCGCCATGTGTCGATCATATGACCTATCACGTGTGTGCAGCAGCCTTTTTGAACGATTAGATGGAGATCTTGGTATAATAAATCCATTTATGATTACTATTGAAATTTGGATTCAGCATATTGAAATTGAAGTTTCTTTTTGAATGATTAGATACAGATTTATCCAGAATGTAGATCACTGTGAGAATGAAATAATTGTTAAAAAGTTGACTCAAAGTGATTGAAACAAAACATAAAACAAAAATGTTTAAATACGACATGACTTGTAAATTTGTATTCGTAACTTTGCACAATTATTCAATTTGGGGCTTGACTAAAGCACATTAATCATATAATTTTGTTTGACAAGTCAATCTCCTTATTTCTAAATTTTTTTCAATCTTTTGCTGCTTGAGCTTGTCACCGAGCCTCTCATGAAATGAAATAACAAAATTATTAAGGGTTGTTTTTTTTTTTAAATATATTAATATAATTTTTTTCAATTGGCAATACATGATGATACTGAAGATTATGTTTTTACTAGTCTTGATTAGTTTTATAATTTTTTGGTTATTTTAATAAATTTTGGTTTAAAAAAAATTAATGACGATAAATATTGAAGACTCTTGTTAATGTTCAGAGAAACAATGCATTTCTAAAAATTATTAATGATCAGTAAAATTATAAACATTGAAGACTCTCTCGTTAAATTTTTTTACGAGCTAAAATAAAAAGTTTTATAATGTCTGATCATTAATGATTTTTATAATGTTCAAGACTCTCTCGCTTAAGTCAAAATTTTTTAACAGACATAAGTTGGGGGCCCCCTCCCAGCTGATTGTGGCCGAATCTTTTATAAACTAAGAACTAGTACGTTCACACATAGTTTTATTTTTTTTTTTTTCATTCAACTAATATTAATGCAATAATTTTGAAGTCCACATACATTGTATCCGTAATTTAGAAGTTCACCTTTTTCTCTTATAGTTGGTTGAATGTTGAGAGATTTAGTATTGTATGATTCACAATCGAATAAACTTTTACACATATAAAAGAAACAAAAAACCCTTGTAATATATATATATATATATATATATATAGTTTTGAAATATAAAATTTAAAGGAACGCAAAATGAAACTCACGTTTCAATCGAAATTGAGATACGATACGATCGATTTTTTTAATTAAATAGATTTATGTTTGAGAAAGGTTAACAATAAATTCTTTCAAGATTGTCTATTTGTCCATAAGATTCAGTATCAAAAGGACAATCTAATGTAATCGAACCCCTCCCCACGCTGTTGCTAAATGAAGCTTAATAAGGTTAACACAGGGAACTAACTGCTGGAGAGATCAATGGCCATCATTATTCTCTAATTTGGTAGCGTGCGTGGGTATAAATGTTGTCTGTCGGGGTAAAAAGTCCGGGTAAAAAGTCGGTTAATCATACTATCTAGCAATAGAAAGCACTTGAGGGCCCCACTTCTATTTTTTATGTGCTACTCAACTCACTCTTTTCCATATCAATTAAGAAGATTGAAATTATTGGAGGAAAATGAGAGGCTTTTATAAGAAGAAAAATGGATATAAATTATTAACTTTATATATATATATATATATTAGTTAAAAAAGGGAGAGAAATTAAATACAAACTTTATAATATTAACATAGAAAAAGAGGAACCAAATAAAAGATGAATTAAATAAATACTATATACATCACCAATGAATAATTACTTAGGTTAAAGACACTTAGATGTGAAAATAACAAATATCGTCCCAAAACTTTTAGCTTAGTGATTAAAGACACTTGAAGAGACACAAAGTGTTTTGTTTCAAATCAAACTTTCCTCATTTTTCTTACTTGTACTAAGAATTTATCTTCCTGATGTAACAAAAAAAAAAATAAAATATCTACATTGACTTGTAGCTTCAATTTGAAAATATGAGAGAATTTTAACAATGAAGTAGTCTATATTAATAGTACATATCGCAACGGTTTAATTTTTTCACATTTTATGTACTACTTGAATTATTGAAATAACTATTAATTATAGTTAAATGTAAGAAGGATCATTTTAATTTTGAAAACTTTTAAAATTACAAATAAAATTGACAAAATCGATATATTAATCTAATAATTTTAAATTAAATTTTAATTAGTAACATCATTTGAGGATAAAATTTTACAAATAAATCACTTAAATAAGTATAATAAAGAGATAAATTTAATTATAAAAAATATACATTAAAATAAATAAAAATATAGAATATAAAATTAATTAAAATCTCATATTATATATTTACTAACCAAATCGGACACAAAAATTATCCTTCTAAAAATAGCATTGACGTGGGTTATAAATCACTAGATTTGGCCTACATTTTGGTACTTAAATATAATTTTCTTTAATCATCACTTAAAACAATTTTTAAGGTACAAGAAACAAGAATCTAACTTTTAAACACAACGGGAAAAGAAATTTAGCTTTTTGTTTGATGTAAGGTTTACCAAATTTCATTCTTTTATCACTTTTAAATCTTTCCATCAAAATCATATGTGAAACAAAAATCAGCAATGAAGATGAAAAGCACTCTTTTTATCTCATATCTTACACGTTAATATCTCTAGAGAAATAATGTATTTGAATGGAATGGTTTATATACGTGCATGCATGAACTTTGCATGCAACTTACACCTTTTAAAACATCTTTTAAAAGAATTAAAAAAAAATTACGGACCCCAACAATTAAAAAACATTAAAAAAATGGGGAAATACGTTGAGAAAAAATCGGATTTATACCTTAAAAAACAAAATGGACGTGGACTCCACACCATTTAAAAAATTTTAAAAAAAATAAATGAGACACAAAAAAAAAAAAAAAAATCAAGAGATCAAGGCTGCTGCACAACGTGATAGGTCATGTGATCGACACGTGGCGGCTATGGCTTCGATGGGCTACTGCGCACACATCAAGGTAGGCACGTTTTACATGAGATAAAGGGGCACTAAACGGAGGTTAATGCGGAGGCCATGGGTTAAATTGCTAGAGCGAAACGAGAGAACAAAGGAAGCAGTTTAAATAGCTAATACTCCCTTTGTTCCATTTTTTTTTTTTCATTTTTCTCTTGAAATATTTTAAAATTAAGCTTTTTTATTTTTAATTTTCAATTTTTTTATATTTTAAAATTATATTTTATGATTTTTTTTTTTACTTTTTGACATTAAAAATCACAAAATTTTAATTTTAATATTAAATACATTAAATTTAAAAATTTTTAACTCTGTAAAAATTAATAAATAATAAATATTTTGAGATAAAAAAATTACTCAATTACAATTACAAAGGTTTCTAAAGTTTTTTAGTCCAAAGCAGTGGTCTCCACAAAAGATGCATAGAAAATAAATCTCTTAAATTTTAAAATATCTTATTTAATCAATAAGATTAAGACACATCAACTTGAAAAATTAAATCTCCACAAAGATACGTCAACTTGCGCTTTGAAAAAAATGTACAAAACATATTCAAATAACAGTAACTATTTGCTCTAAGCAACGGTATATGCTATTTCTTTTGTGGCTTCAAAAGTACTTG